GTCGCTGCTGGTCCGCGACTGCTTATTCGTCAGACCTGGGTCTGCTTATTTCGCAGCTAACCTTCACTGAAGGTCGTCCCACTATCCGCCACCTGTGGACGCGCCGGGTAGCCAGCAGCTAGGCTAACGGGCAACCCGTCTTAAAAGATCTCCAGTCGTCCTCCGGATCTCCCCTGAGTAATTGGTCCCAATTGACGGATAGCAATTCTTTCTTCATCGGATTAAAATCTGCCTTTCACATATTAGGTTGGCCTCCTGTTCTCTTCTGGCGTTGATAGAAGAGCGAGTAATCCCATATTAGCGTAGCGTGGTCACCTTTCCCGAGAGGTGCCTTGGAATACACTTCGTCGATATTAGAGAAGTCTTTAGCGAAAACTAGGTCTAGACAATTCGCTCTCTGGTTCTCTCGAAATCTTGTTGGTACCTTCACATGTTGCGCCAGAGGGAGATCGAGTGTGAGGTCCAGTAGCGGACCCAACGTTAACTGCCATAGTTTCCCACTCTATTGCAGGTGCGTTGAAATCCCTAGCAATAAGTACCTCTTAGTGGCTAGATACGTCTTTGGCTAAACAAAGGAGCGACTCATCAGCTGCACTCAGAAGGTTTGGTGGTCTGCAAAATCGCCAGGAATTCTAGATTTTGTGCATTGCTCTTCTTTATCTTTATCCAGACGGATTCCTATTCAAGGGAGAGGGTGTGGGCTCTTTCGACTGCCGAAATTCCTGCCCTTACATATACGACTACCCCACCACCCTGCCTATTTTGACGGTCTCTACGAAAGAGCTGGTAACCCGGTATCGAAATCTCAGCGTTCACGATTTCGGCGTTAAGCAAAGTTTCCATTATGGCGATGACGTCAGGGATTCGTTCTGATACTATCGCTTTGTGTTCGTCGATCTACGAAACGAGACTTTGTGCATTGGTATACAAAAATCTCAATTTGGCACGGGCAACTCCGGCAGACAGGCGTTTATCCATTTCCTGAGATTGAATGCAAAAGCCGGTCTGAGTTGGTCGGGATGAACTGCTTTCCATCACTTCTAAGCTGTTAGAGTTATGGGCTTTCTCCAGAAGAATGACCTCTGAACGCGTATAATTTTTCCGTCCACTATTCTGAAATTCGTCTCGCCCAGACTCGACCGCCTGAGGACTTCCGATTTGAGCCCCCTCCATTTTTCTCGCTAAGCGGGTAAAAAGTCCGCTGAAGAAAAAACTGATGGATGGGCATTTTTGAGAGCAGATTTCCTGCTTAACAGTAACTGCTCTTGTTTGTCATTCTCGAAGACAATATTTAACGGTCTCGGTCGGTCTGGTTCATGTTTTGAGTCTTTCATTTGGCCCATCCAGAAAGCCCTTAAAACTGTGACTTTCTCGTCCCCTACTAAGATCGATTTGACATATTCCTAGAATATTTCTATGTCATGCTGTATTCTGTCCTTCGGGGTGTCGGAAACAGACTCAGGCATGCCCTTTATGACAATGCATTTACTGCGATCAACTAGACGGCCTTGTGGTTTAATCATACCTGCAGTGTCTTCATCGCAGATATCCCGGCTACCGTCTTCCACCGATTTAGGAAGGTTTGATTCGGTAGGATTAAGGCATGACTGCCTGTTTACTACGACCTTTTGATCATTTGTCGTTTTCAGCGGCAGGATTTTCGTCTGCGGTGTAGTCAACTCTTGTTCCCTTGTCTGACTGTGCTTTTTCGAGGTACC